TGTGATGATTTGGACCAGTCAACGTCGGGTATATTAAAATCCCCTATACAAAGAAATTCTTCTGTGTTGCGATATCGCATAATTACGTTTTGACAGTTTGTAAAAAATTTATCGATGCAGTCTAAAGGCAGATCTGGCGGAAGATAACAGAGACAAATATTAATAATTTTAACATTAGTGGCTTTTGGCAATATACTGATCCACAAGTCTTCTAGCTCACTAATACAGGAAACTTGATAAATAAAATTTATTTCTTTTTTTAACGGCAATTAGAATTCCCCCCGCCCTCAGATTTACGTGCATTTGATTGATATCTGTCGCGCCTTACAACATTATAGCGAGTGTCAATGAGTTCACCGTCAAAAATTATATTCGGCCCATCCCTAGTAATTACATGGCCTATATGTAATTGTTCCAGGTCTGGATGTTTGTCCTTGTGCAATTTATCAATATAAACTAATACAGGAAAAAATCCTAGTATGAGAGTAACATTTTTTTTAAATGAAAAACAAAAGGGATGACTATGGAAGAGATTCCATGGTGATGATCATTATGCTTATGTTAATGATAAAAACAATGAAACATACAAGCAAATAAAGATGTAATATTTTTTATAAATTAGTTATATACAAAACTAGCTATCCCACGCACCTACATCCATGTGAATTTCTTACGATTTCATGGGTTTTAATTTTTTTACACAGAACCCTTATTCCTTTTCTAAAATAAAAATAGACTAAGTTACTCCTTAAAATATCAGTGATCAGCCAGTGAAAGTCCTGTCAAAATAGGTCAAGCCATCTCGGAGATTAGCCGGAACATGCAGACAGACAAAAATTTCAAAAATAATTTTTTTTTTGTTATATTATAAGTACCTTAAATACACTAACCGGCACAGAAACTTGGCCAGTCGTGAATTTGCTGATTAATTGCACTGAAACGTTTTTGTAACAATAAATTAAGGGTGGATGGATTCCATAAGTGTCTCTAATGGTTTTAGAACATAGAAATTTCATGTTTACTCCACCAAAATTTTACTTTTCAAGATAACATGTTTTACTAAAATTAACATCTTTCCTTTGTCACTTTAAAAACAATACAAAGTTAAAACTTAAGTCTGTTTCTTTATTGTCTATCAGTTTTAATATCGCGTGTTTTACGATATTAAAACTGATAGACTAGATAGCTAGCTCTAGCCCTGATAACCGCCTGCATTCAATCTGCCACGCTTTGAATGATGTTTCTGACATTAACTTGCGGTATGCTGTCCCAAGCGGCCAGTGCTGCATTTTGGAGCTCATTTAGAGTTTGTGGCGGTTTGGACTTTATCTTTCTTTTGAGCAAGCCCCACACATGCTCAATTGGATTTAAGTCCGGGCTATGAGCTGGCCACTGTAATTTTTGTATTCCAACCTTCCAGATATGCCTCTACACAATGTGCGACGTGTGGGCATACATTATCGTGCATGAGGAGGCATTGGTTGTGTCCAATGAACCCCAAATAAGGCATTACATGCTCCTGAAGAACTTCCTCGATGTATCTAGTAGCTGTAAACCGATTATCGACAATGATCAGCTCTGCACGTGCGCCGGAACTTACAACTCCCCACACCATTATTGAGCCTCCATGGAAACACAGTTTGCCTGGTGGTAATGGGTAGAGACCTCTCTCCTTTTTTCTCCACACTCGTTCTCGACCGTCTGGAGCATGTAAAACTATTCGACACACATCTGTGAACAACACTCTAGCCCATTGCTTGTGGGTCCAATTGACATGTTCTCTTGCGAACTGAAGTCGGGCTACTTGGTGCTGTCTGAGAAGTTCTAGAATTTGTGCTGGTATACGAGCTTTTAAATTCACTTCCTCCATTCCTCTTCTCACTGTATGCTCACTAACATAAACGCCTCCTGTGATTTGGAGCCACTGACGTATCTCAACAGCGGTCAGGAAGCAGTTTCTCAATATCTCCAGAACAATAAAATGATTGTCCCAGGCCAATGTGCACCTTACACCTATACTACCTGGCCTGCGGGTGAAGCGGCCTGTCTCCTGGTATTGTTTCACTGCATACTGCATTGAGGACCATGGTACATTAAGCACAATAGCAACCTCACACTGTGTCAGCCCTTGGTCATTTTTATAATATATATAAAAATGATTAATATTATCATAATTCTACTGCTTGTGCCACTTGTGCTGGTGATAATGGCATTTTTATTGGTTTTAAAGCACCTTTAGGTCTTGAATTGACACAAGATCACAATAATTGAATAACCTTACAGTAAACTTTTCACAACACACAATTTTGAAATGTGAACTTAGTCCCTCAATCGACCCAATTCAACTAAAAATTAAAGAATTTATCTCCTAAATTAAAGAATTTGAACTTGAGGGTAAATATTTTTTGACATACCTGCATAACAAACATTCGTCAGTAACACTTAAAGCTTTTGCTATCGCGAGATAAGCGCTTGGCCAAGATTCCTTACTGCTGAGTGTATTTTCATATGCATTGAGTAAAAAGCTGTTATTTTGACATTACAAACAGAGATTTCAATTTTATTTTAATATGGATTTGTATATATAGTAATAATTTTAACTGATTAAAATTGATTTTCCATACTTTAAAGGCAGTAAGTAAAATATATTATGGACCATTTACTCACCTATCACTACTAGCAGATGCAATATACTGCCCCTTGGGATCCCATGAAACTCCTTGTACGAAACCCTTGTGGTCTGACAATATGCAGGTATATCGTCCTTTGGAGACATCCCACATTAAAAGTTTATTGTCCACTGAGCCAGATGCAAGGTAAGCTGAGTCAGAGCTCCAACTTATGTCAAGTACATCTTCCATGTGTCCTCTTAGAGTCTTAAAAAGTTATTCCATCTTTAGCTTAGTTATAATAATTTTAACAACTGTTGAGATAACATGCATCTTTATTTCTTAGTTGTTTAGACTGCTTGATTCCATAATTCTTCAAGTCCAGGAGCTTAAAACCTTACAAATTTTGCTCATATCCAAAAAACTGGTAATGATTTTAATTTTATAAACTTTGAATTTTATTAAATTGACTTTTTAATTTTTAATATTGACACTAACATAATTAAAAATATTGTTGAAACTGCAACAAGCTTGTAGTCAAACATAGAATTGACATAAGCACCAAGTAAAATAAGTTTCAAAAATAAATGCATAAATATATTGAGTATATACATGAGGACTACTTTTAATTTACTTATTAATTACTACATAACATTTGACAATTTACAAGACTTGGCTAGTACTTACTTTGTGGACTACCCATGTTTCCTTGTATTGTTCCTCGCCTTGCTCCTGTACGAGAACTAAATCTTCAGTCTTCTGTTTCCAAACAAAAATAATAGATTCATCATCTCCAGATGCTAGAAGTTTGCCATCTGGTGACCATCGCACTACATTAACTGCTTTCTGGTGGCGTGTCAAGTCAGCCGCTACTTCTAAATCAACGGAGCCAGTGTCTGTTATTGCTATATACCATATCTGAAATCAAATCATATTAAATAGGTTTTACTAACACAACAAAAAACTGCTTTTAAAAACTCAGTATTTTTACGTAAAAAGTAAGCAGACGTTAATTGCTTCTACTTATTTCATTATGTAATTTTGTCTTGTAATTAATAATATGCTTACCAAAACATGGGAATCGGTTCCGCCAGTAGCAAGCCTCAAAGGATCATTGGCCTCGCGTTTAGGTTGAAAATCAACACTTAACACAGGATCCCTGTTGTGCCATGATATTTCAGGGATCGAGAATTTCATTTTTATATTTAGAAACGAATTTAATATGTATAATGATTAATATTTATTATTTTTACGGTCAGACAGATTGAGATTGCAAAAAATAAAAACAAGTAATCTTATCTTTAGGCGCGAATTTTCGCCGTCTTATTCTTAATTTAAAAGCAAACGCATCTATGCCTATACAGCCTAATTTGACAAGACTTTGATATGGGCTTTCATCTGCATCACATCACGAAGTGCCTGAGAGATTTTGGTGACACCATCACTCGGCAGTCAATAATAATGACAATACTATTCAAAGAGTTATAATAAGTATATACAGAAAATAATACTATTTCAAGGCATCAAAAACAAAGATAATAACTTATATCACTAAAGGAGCTAGAAATAAAAAATTATTTCTACTAATAGTTGACGTTTGTAACTTTATAGTTGTAGTACAGCCAATGGTCAAGGATAATATTAATAGTTTAAGCTGTTTAAAATGATCACCTTAATACTCCAAAAATATCTTTAGAAAAATGAGGTAAATTGAAGAAAAAAATTACAAAACATCATGGAACATCTGGTGTCTTTCATCATCTTAAGAAAATTAAACCTAAACCCAAGCATACCACTGCAAGACTTCAAGATACTGTAAGTTCGTGCTACGTAGATTTGACCAAAAATCAATATTCAAATACTGCAGGTAGCCAGGCTAACTATGACATTGGGATGTCAAACATCTCAGTCACCCGTTACCATGAGTGCTGTAAAGCACCCTAAATGTCGGGAATTAAAAATAAATTAATTAAACGCAATAAAATCCGTGTATATGATTTTATTCAATAATAATAATAATAATTTGGCATAGGGAAGTGATGATCCCATCGCCCGCTGACGTAACGATTATGTGAGCAGTCAGCGCAGTCAGTCAGCACCTTGCCAAGAGGTGTTAATGCCATGCCTCGGCGAAAATTGAAGGTGAAAATGCCCACTTGTGCACATGGCCTCACCATGAAACGGCGCCAGGTCTGCGCATCCCCCATTAAATGACGCCCATTAAATGGATGATGGAATTAAATAAAACGCGCAAAGGGCCGCTACCTGGAGGTCACCAGGGCGCGTCTGGAGCTGCCACTGAACGTGACAGCATGCGAACCGCCAGCCGAGTACGAGGTGCTGCACGAACACCCAGCAGCTCCTCGCATCCATAATACCCCACCATCTGGCTTGGTGTCGGCAGAGTCTTCGCGGGCCCAACAATCAGCACTCACCACTGGTGGAGTACGCCGCATGCGTTGGACAATCCAAATGTACAGCAAAACATTGCGGGCGCATTTTAGGGCGAAAGGGGAAGAATTAGAGGTTTTGCCGATCGGACTAGGATGCATCGACTTTTTGCTGACCTGGCCATCTATAATCATCACCGAGCAAAACCTGGCAGACCTAATTCGGTATATCTTGCGCTCAAATATATTTGATGTCGCCGAAATCGAACGGCTACGACGTGAGGCTGTACCCTCATCGGATGAAAATGCTACGGCTAAGGATGCGGCGCCACAACTTGCGGAACAACCCGCAAACGTGGAAGCCGCCGTGAATACCCCAGTTGTGGTTGATTCAAACTATTATGAAACAGACGCCCAGGAACTGAAATTAGAGCAAATGAGGAGTACATTAGAAGAGGTGATTGTGGAAATGCGCAGTACGCCTCTCGAAAGTCGACCGCGACTTCCCCGCATAGCCCTAAGCAAGCAGAATCGGGCTGTCGTGAGGGCTCTGAACCCAATGCTGGTGATCTATTTGAAAGTCAGCCGGGACCTTTGCGAGACGGACTCTTTTTGGCGATGCACTGGCAGTCTGCCGTATTATAAGCGCCAAGCTTTCCACGGCTGGACGCGCTGCTGAACAAAGTAGCGCTATCCCAGCCTCAAGAATAAGAATTGAAGAACGTATCGCAAAGGCTAGGGCCCTCACCAGTAGACTGATATGCTTCAGGTCAGGCAATAACAGACCAAGGATTGTGCGCACCTTCAGGATGGCGTTTGCTGGGACAAATGTTAGTTTGTCCCAGCGGGATATAATGCAAAAACTGGTTGAGCGCATAGATGACCTGAAGCAAGTAATCCACATCCAAGCAATCCACTTTCCCCAAGTGGGAATGGAAGAAAGTGGATTCGGTGATATACCGAGAGGTCGACACGGTTCAACCAGAATCGTCTCTTCCAGAGTTATCAGAAGAGGTTCTATAAATCATTGGAGCGATCAATGGTAAGTGGAACGGGCCCAGCACCGAATCAGGCTGACACTGTCGCATTCTGGCGCGGCCCGTGGCCATAGCCCATAAACTACAGTGAGGGCCCTTGGAAGGAAGCCGTGGCAAGTCAGTGTGCGAGTATGACGCCCATGAACATCGTCGTGATAACGCCGGTTGGCGTAGCTGAGGCGGTCCGTAGGGCCCGAAGTGTAAAAGTCCGGGACTTGAAGGGCTGCATCACTACTGGCTAAAGGGGTTCGTGGTGTGTCACGCTGTGCTCACCCGACAGTTTCAAGAGGCTCTCAACCGAAGTCACTCCTTAGCCTCTTCACTACTGGGATCACTCATTTGGTTCCTAAAGACCAGGTTACCACAGACCTAAGCAAATACCGCCACATCACGTGTCTACAGACCATATACAAGAGACTTACATCCATTTTGAGCGCGAGAATCACTTGTCACCTGGACTTAAATCAGGTGATGTCACGCGCTCTAAATGGATGTCAGGGCGGCGGTCGTGGAACCAAGGAACCACTCCTCATTGACGCGGTCATTGACAAAGTAGTGAAATGCAACCGTCGGAAGTTCTCAGTTCCACATATATGGCTAAAGAGGTGTACAAGATTGACTATACAGTTAGACTTCCTGGAGTAGTGTATGGGGCAGTACTTTGTCATCTGGGTGAGCGGATGGCAACATCAGTATCGATGAGCCTGGTATGAAATAGTCAGTTTGCGACGTGTTTTATACATGCTTGACCGAAGTGCTTAACAGCCTTTTGTCTGGTGTAAATAAGACACACGTGTATAACGGTTGGGTCATGCCTGTCCTCATGTATACCTTTGGCATACTCAGTTGGACTCAGACTGAAATTAAAGCCCTGGATAGAAAAGTCCGCACTACTATGACGTCCTATAGGATGCATCATCCGAGATCGTTGGTAATGAGGCTGTACTTGCCGTGAAAGCATGGTGGGCATGGCTTTCTGAGCGCGCTCCCTATGCATAGTCGCGAAGTATGCAGCCTCTGTCATTACTTCCTGGTGAGGTCAGATGATCCATTCTATAATGACATCATTTCTAGTGATAAAAGGCTTACCCCTCTATCCTTAGCCAACAAGCAATGGCAGGACCTAGCAGTACATGGCATTTCCGACTGGAAGACCGTATGAAAGGAGAAGTAGCTCTACGGGAGGTATTACAGAGCTCTACATGAGCCCTTCGTAGATACAGTCGCCTCCCTCATCTGGCTACGTTTCATTGACCTCTTCGGGGAAACCGAGGGTTTTATGTGTGCAATATAAGATCAGGTTAACCAAGGTTAACCGCCCGACTTAAAATCCGTTGTCGTGCCAACAACACCCGTCAGATGAATCAAAAAATAGACACCTACAACAAAGAGGGATGTTTTATTATAATATCGATATTTGCGAGCGTTTAGTCTACCGGTAGAGTATCTAACAACTACCTAAATACTACTTATTTTTTGATATTATCAGGTATTTTTATATTTTTGTATTTAGGGTTCGTGACAATAAAAACTACCCATTGAATTACCAAAATTTACACTTTAAGTACCGAACACCAATTAAAACTTAAAACACACTAATAATTAATCATACTTAACACTTTAGTTCACTTTATTTCGCTCCTAAGTCTTCACTTGTATCGCCAATTCAATACTGTCCCAGTCGTGGCACCAAACGGCTTTATATAGGCCTTTTCCACCGAAACATTTAGAATGTTCCAGCAAATACCGGTCCCGACCGCCTAGGTGTAAAAAATTAAAGTGTGCAGTTATCTGGAAAGCATAGCTCTTCTATTCGATAATAGATGGCGCTAGTGCCATGTACCAGACATCAACTGTGGCGCGCAACAATATGTTAAATTAACTTTATTTCGTATGGCACTGTTTATTTTATTCTGTATGATGCATTATACCCGATTATTTAACTGTTTGTCTTTTAGTTTTTAAAATAAAATGCGCATTGCATTGTATCCCAACCCTATGGTCATATATAACCGACGCGCGCGTTAGACACCGAAGGAAAGTCCAAGCTGCCAATTACTTATTTTTGATTAAGCTTTTTCAATACTTAGAGCTACGAGGCATAATTTTGGGTAATTGTTGTAGATAATATCTCTATTTAATAATGGTTTTAGTTGTACCATGCTGCTAATAGGACGAAAATAGAACGTAAAAATCATGCATGTTCTCTGTCGCAGAAATACGACACGAGCGGTAGGGGCACAGAAACATGAGTCGCATTAACCCCACAGCCCTCAAGCGGTCGAATCCGACCGCGGCGCTATTCCTACAAAATTTAAGCGGTCGAATTCGACCGCGCACACCCACAGCAATTTAAACCATTAAAACTTATATTTAGAGACTACTTTTCTATGAAGAAGTTCGACATTATAGAATCAATGTGAAATTTTCTATCCTCTAGTGCAATAAAAGGTCAAGTTATCTTATGGATAATTATTTATAATCTACGTTAATTTAATAATATAATAATAATAAAACATTTATTCATTACCACCAATATAGTTACAGTGAGCAGTATACACAGAAATAACCAAAATTACATACTGTATTAATGAATGGGCTCTAGCTCAGCATAAATGTTGCAGTTGCCTACAACGCTGTTATTCTGCCAGCGCCCTACAAATGAAGAGTACAGTACGCGCGCATCCCTGCTTATATTACATTTAACAACTGTTCATATTAGAGTACATGTCGTGTTTTCCTAAGTATTAGCGAGTGTTTTTTTTTTGCGAGTATTGCGAGTATTACGAGTATTAGCCAGTTCAAATTAATAATTAAGAAATATATAATATAATAATATAATATAATAATTATCATAAAGTTTTCCATAAAATTTATATTATTAATAATTATTGCAACAATACAATTAATAGTAACATAAGCAAAGTATTAAATAATATTTATTTTACTGAGCCTAACTTATTTGAGCTTATTAATCTACTACCGCCTATTGGCAATGTTTATTTATTTTATTTATAAAACGGCCCTGTGATTTAGTAAGAATAATACGGTTATGACAGTAATTGTTCGCTTAGTAAGTGACGTATAAGTCTTTTTAAAACTGTTTTTACTTATCATAGTGCGTATAGGTGGTGGGAGATCATTCCAACACTTAGTTGCCATAAACTTAAAACTGCCCCGGAAAGCCGATGTTTTGTGTTTAGGGACGCAAAAAACTTTAGAGCATAATCGAATTTTATATAAATGTTGGTCATTTCTCCAGTTAAGTTTTTTGTATAAATATTCTGGGTTCTTTGTATTTAGGCCGAATAGCAAAGAAGCATAAAAAAGTTTGAGACGCCCCTGCATTTTTAACATATTCGAAGCATTAAGATATGACGTGACATGAGATCGTCTCGGTATATAAAAACAATAGCGTGCACAAGCATTCTGTACCCTTTGGATTAATTTTTGAGATTTCATAAGCAAACAAGGTCCGTAAAAAGTTATACAATAATTTAATTTAGCTTTAACTAGAGTTTCACAAAGTTTTACACGTAAATTAACTGTAATGAATTGTCTAAATTTGTATAGAACTTTTAACCTGTAAAAGCAGTTTTGTACCAAATTGGTTACATGATTTTCAAACCTCAAATTGCTGTCAAAAAGAATGCCTAAATTACGTGCTTCGTGAACTTGTGCAATTGTTTCTCCATTAACACGTATATCGAGTTTAGTTATAGCAATATCGAGTACCTGCTTTTTAGTGCAAATGATAAGGAATTTCGACTTTGAAAGATTAATTATCATAGAGTTATTTTGTGACCAATCGCAAATACGTTGAAGATCCTGATTTAACTTATTTACTAAAGCATTAATATTTTTTCGATCTATGGGTAAGTATACCTGTAAATCATCGGCGTATAGATGGTATTTACAGTTTTGGAGACAGTTTATTATATCAGCGCTGTAAATGATAAAAAGCAAAGGCCCTAACACGGAACCTTGAGGAACACCTCTATCAATAGGAAGAAGCTTCGAGACACAGTTTTTACCATTGTGCCCGTCTAAAACTACTTGTTGATGTCAATTAAATAGCTTTTGAACCACTCGAGTGTTTCTTTATCAAAGCCGTAATATGAAAGCTTACAAATCAGCAAATTTGTGTTAATTGAGTCAAAGGCCCTTGAAAAATCTAATAAAGTGAGAATAGTACCTTCTCCAGAATCCGAAAAAGATAACAGATCATCCACGACATTAATCAGAGCTGTTGCTGTTCCGTAATTTTTTCTAAAACCTGATTGTAGGTTGGGTATTATTTGATGTTTTTCACAGAAATTTAAAACTTGTGAGTAAACAACCTTTTTAAGTATTTTCGATAAATAAGGCAGTATACTAATGGGCCTTAGGTCACCTACACTTGTTGGGTTACTTTTTTTTTGGTGTTGGACGAATAAGTGCGGTTTTCCAAGAAGAAGGAAAAACAGACTCTGTAATGGATTTATTAATTATTGTAGTTATAACATTTAAAGTTATCGGAAGCGTTAGAATTATCATATCCATATTAATGCGGTCAACGTCTTGAGCATTTGACTTAATTCCCATTATGATTTTTGCAACTACATTTTCATGAACTGGCATTGGCTTAAAAGTATCAGATATACGGTTTATACTTTCCAAATTAATTACATTAGGTGAATAGGCGATGTTTGTTCCCGGTATACTCAAAAAGTGACGTTTAATTTCGTCGAGATCACTAAAATATTCTGGTAATTCATTCGAACTTTTAAATGATGGTAACGCAAATGACTTCAAATTTTCCATAGAACATTTATGATATGTAAATGTTGATTAATGTGGTAATCAAAATACGCCTTCTTCTCGGCATAGAGAGTGCTGTTTACCAGACTTCTAAGGGTCTTATATTGAATTTTATCTCTCTCAGTTTTTGTGTGACGATATTTATTGTGCGCGCTATCCCTGAGCTGCATAATGTTCTTAACATTACTCGTGAACCATGGCAATTGTTTCTTACGCATAATTATTAGTTTCTCTGGAGCATGTTTATCAAACAACTCTAAAATTCGTTTGGAGAAAACAGAAACCATATCATTCACACAATTGTACCTAGCAATGCTATCCCAATTTATGGATTAAACTTCCGACTCAAAATCTAACAGATTGATATTTTTCATAGGTCTTATAATTTGCTGCCTTAGAGCTACCTTAGGTCGTTTAGGTCGTTTAATCTTAAAATCAACTAATATGTTAGCATGACCACCAAGTTCAGGAGTATATTTTACACTAGTATTAGTCACACCGGCGTCCGTCATTACCAAATCAATTAATGTATCACTCTCTTGTGTAAAATGGGTAGGTTGAAAAGTACAGTTTTTCAACCTAGTATATTGCAAGAATTGATTAAGCTGTTGCGTTTTGTTGTCACTTTCATCCAAAATATTTATATTGAAATCTCTTAATAAAATTATATTATCGAAATTTGAATACGAAGTTAAAGTGTTTGTAAGAGAATCAAAGAACCTTTCTACATTTACCCATTGTGGTCGATAGGCCGTTCCGATTAAAAGCTTAACTTTGTTAATGGATAGCAATAGCCACTGCTGCTCCACCTCATTAAAGACAATATTATGAGAATAAGAACGAGCATTAATCCCTCGTTTGATGTAAAAACCAACACCACCACCACGTGTCCGGGATAGGTTACAAGAACGGGGAATATGATTGAAGCGATAGCTGGGAACTAACGGAGCACAGGCATCTTCACCAGCTCGTAGCCACGTTTCGTTTATCGCCATAATATCAGCAGAAGTAGCAGAGTGAAAATATCGTTTATTGAATCTCCTAATCGAAGCATTATGTTATCGTAAACTTGATTACGTAAGCTATAGTATTTGAAAAAAAATCAAAGTACCGTGGTTTCTGCTGTTCTACCCAGGACATAGGTTCTTTTGCGAACCATTGTGGTCGATAAAAGGACTTCACGAAGTATTTAATCTGCATTGAATAAACTAACGTTTCTGTTTCTATTTCTATTTCTCATTATAAAGGCCATCTCTTAAACTTTTACTTTTAGTAGTAGCCATGTTGTAATAATGTTTTGGTATGAATAATCATTTCATGTATATAATCGTCGATATGTTGAACAGAAATAATTAAAGAGTATTTATAGTAACATATAATATTATAATTTGAACTGGCTAGCATCGGCATGCATATAAAATATAAAATTATTTTCAATATATCATCAAAAAATACATACAAACAAGCAAAAAAATTTACAAAGTACTTGCACAAAAATGAGAACAAAATAAGGTAAAAATAATTATTAAAAAAATATTCAGAATAAAAACAACATATCTATACTTGTACTAGCTAACAAAAGAAAGTAAGTAAAACTAACTAAGTAAATTAAAATAACGTTAACCAATTCCAAAAAAATTAACAAAGTCACAAAAATGTTTACGCAATAATATAGATTCTGCAGGACAGCAGCTTTATTAGCACATAAGGTTAAAAATACTACCACACGTACAATATTACTACTGCAAACTACTGCAGAATATAGACTTAATGAAATATGGTATAAAACATAGGAATTAAAAAGTATGAAATAACATGTAATTAATAATAAAGTATAAGGTATAATAAAAAGCACAATATTATCTAATAAAATGAACAAAAATAAAATAGTAAGGAGCCCCAAAGTACATTTAACATTATTTAGACATTTTTGAATAGGGTACACCAAAAATACGTTCCAATCCATTTCGGAGTTTACTATGCGCGCAGGAATATTATGAGAGTCTTCACGCTTAACATAAACACGACCCCCCTTTGTCCATACAAATTTCCAATTTAAATTTCTAGCTATTTCACGTGTTTTAGTAAATAAAATGCGGTTTATTTTTGTTAAACGTTCATTAACATAAAATGTAGTTGATTGATGAGGTGGTAGCCCTAGGTCTCCAGTAGTAAGCGTACGGCGCACTCGAGCATTTTTTAATAAGTGATCGCGTAATGTACGACGCGTCAATCTTACAGCCAAGGGGCGCGCACGTGTGGGCGATAATAGATAATGATGTGTTGTTTTGGTTACCTATTCGCGTATCCTTATGCAGCCAATTTAAACGGCGACCGACGCGCTCAGCGTAAACTATGTCTTGTTCCGTTAGAGATACTCCGAGTTTAGAGGCAACGGTCAACACAATATGCATTGTTGATTCGCCTGAAAATTCTGGTATTCCGACTATTTCGACATCATTTAGCAGGGCTTCTTGATCTGAGGTTATTTGCGCGTACTAATGCATTTGTTTGAGCAGTTTGAGGAGATTCAATTTCTTTGTGGATGCACATGTTTTCATTCTCGAGTGCCTGCACTTTTTCACTAAGGGTATTGACCTCAAGCTTTAAGTTACATACTTCTTGTGTTAAAGATTCAGTTATTTGCTTGAAATCACTTTCTAAATTCTTTAAAACGTCACGAAATTCTTGCTTGATTTCTGTGGCTAGACAAACATGTGCGCTTTTTAGTTTTGATTCTAATTTTTGATCCAACAATTTACCAATTTCTTCTAGGGAAAATGAAAAAGTATTCACTTTAGGCACTCCAGGATGCTCCATATTCGGGGATAACTGTTCGTTACTGTCCTCTGTCTGCGAAATATTATCACAGGACATGTCAACTAAATCGGAGGGGACGATTCTTCACTTTTTTCATTTATTTTTATTGGGGTGTCATCATTTCTGTGTCGTCTTTAGGTAACATTTGTACAAGTAGGGCACTTCCATGTTCGTTTGATTTGTTTAAAATTGCCCATAAATTTCGCCGTTGTAATATTCAAACATCTGTAATGATAAGTTTCTTTACACGTAACACAACCCAATAATTCTCCCTTCTCAATAGAATTCGAACATGCTAAGCATTTCATATTTACAGCTAATCAAAAGATCTTAACAAATAAATAAACTATTACTTTATGCAAGTCACACAAGTGGGTATAAAATAATTTTGCAAAATTATCACTGTTGTCCTTATTTTACTCACACTGTAATGTTTGTCTATAAAAATCACTTTTATTCAAATATAATGTCTACAGTTTCACTTCTACAATTTCACATGCATAACATTTAAGTTGAAATATAAACTTTAAAAACAATAATATTTTTAAACCGGAGCTAATGTTATACGATGTTAACACAGCGAATATATACTTTAAAAACAATAATATTTTTAAACCGGAACTCTCGTCACAATTTCGTACACCATTTTTGCGTGAATGTTATTGTGTTGATTTTTGGATTTTTCTAGTGTTTTATTAGTGTTTTAGTATAGGATTTAATTATAAAATTGTAATGAAAGTTTTTGTGTCAATATCATTTATCTTTTTACGTAAATAATTTCGAGTAATATATAATGAAATAATTATGATTTTCACGCTGCCGACATTCGCTTGGTATGTTTTGTTTTTGTTATCAAAATACAATAGTCTTTTTGTAATGAAGTAAAACCTGACTATTATATAGAGAATTTTGTATAGATTTTATAATGCCAAACTTCTTCATAGAAAAGTAACCTCTTAATATAACTTAAAAAGGGTGATCGCTACCAAGCTACTTCTAATTTGTCTTGTGTTGCTAATTGTAAACATGATTGTAAGCTATCTAATGAAATAATATTTAAAGAGTTTGTGTATCTGGGGTCAAAGTTTACAAGAGATGGAAAGTGTGAGAGTGATATCGAAAGAAGAGTGAATGCAGGAAACATGGTGAATGGAGCTTTGCATTCCTTTATGAGCAGTCGGAAAGTGTCTAACAAGGGTCGTTTGGCTGTGCATGAGGGGGTGTTGGTTCCGACACTCATGTACGGAAGTGAAAATTGGGTATGACAGAAGAAACATGAAAGTAGAATAAATGCAGTTGAGATGAGAGCATTAAGAAGTATGATAGGAGTTAAACTGAGTGACAGGATAAGAAATAGTGAGATAAGGAAACGTTGTGGTCTGAAAGAAGATGTAGTGACAAAAATTGAGAAAGGTATGCTGAGATGGTTTGGCCACATCGAGAGAATGAATGAAGAACGATTGACGAAAAAAGTGTATAAGGCGAGTGTGAATGGAAGTGCTGGAAGGGGTAGACCTAGGCGGACTTTTCTAGACCAAATTAGGGACGTCTTGAAAAAAGGCCAGGTTAAGAGTACCCTAAACCGTAACGAAACAGCATGTATGAAGGGAATAATGAAAGTAGACGAAGCGAAACAAGTATGTAAGGATCGTAGCAAGTGGAAAGAAGTGGTCTCTGCCTACCCCTACGGGAAAGAGGCGTGATTATATGTATGTATGTATTGTAAGCTATTATTGGAAAAAAAAATAGTTCCGCTGGGTTTCTTGCTGGTTCTTCCCAGGACAGAGGTTTTTTTTTGCGAACCAGTGGTAAATGAAAAAAGTGACTTTCAATAAGTATTGTTATAATCTACATTGAATAAAAAAGTTTCTGTTTCTGTTTCAATGGTTTTAAGTGCTGCGGGTGGGTACGGTTGCATGCAAACGCTCGGCATTTGCCGATCGTATGCGACTGCATCGGATTTTTATGAGGATCGAAGGGTTAATGTGACACAAGCGGTCAAAAGGTTATTAAAACCAACAACTATCGGAGATATATCCTAAAGGATGGCACCGTCGACGTCTGTCGAGCTTATCGCCTTCCCGGTGAGTCACTTAGGCATGTCATCTCCGGTTGTTCGGCGCTTTCTATCTCTGAGTACTTGCACAGGCACAACCTAGTAGCCAGAATTCGTGGACATCGTGGAGAAATCGTGGACCGGAAATTAACGTATTACAAGTATTTGCCGGAAGCCGTGATCGAAAATGACCGCACCAGACTCTACTGGGACCGGGCCATCACAGAAAGGAATATTCTTGCGAATAAGCCTGATATTGTGCTGATGGACCGGGCACAGTCAAGGATATTTTTGGTTGACATTACCATTTCGTATGACGAGAACCTCGTAAAAGCCGAACATATAAGAAAACAAAATATCTGGACCTGGCTCACGAGGTGACCGACCTGTGGGGTGGCCTGCCGATCGAAATTATTCCTGTAATCGTTTCTGCAAACTGGCTAATACCAGTCAGCCTCTCGGGTCATCTGAGGTGGCTGGGACTCCGTGACGGACTGCTTTAGGCTCAAATGCGGAAGGCTATGCTCCTCAATACCGCCTGCATCGTCCGCTGGTTTCTTTCCCTTTCCCCTAACCCTCAGTCGTTTGGACTCCCCTGCCGAGGGCCTCCATCTGGTTGGGCTTTTATTTATTTATGTATTATTTATTTATTTGTGTTAGTGTATTAAATATATACTTATGTATATTTATCATCTCCTTTTATATATTTATTCAGCTCAACCAGATGAGAATACTCTATTAATACCCCTAAATAATAATAATGATAACCCCCCGGGGACCACCATGACGTGGTGGGGGGCTTAAGGGGAGGCATGAACCTAACAGCGGTCACTATGAACTTGACCATATCCTATATTCACCGATACAGGAGGTACATATTATTAGCCACTAACATTTTTGCTAATCCTCTCCAATTAACGGTCCCAAAGCCAAACCCAAATGGAGAATAATTATGGTATTAACAAGAAGTAAACGGCCCAAAGTGCACGGCAGGCCCAGTAGCAGCAATGGTTATGACGGAAGCCAGCCTGAGACTGGGCCTGGGAGTAATACAAGGAATACAAGGAATTGAGTAATACAAGGAATTGAGAACTCATAAATCATGGATTGAAGAGTTGAAAAACGAAACTAACTATACACAAAATAGAACGGAAATACTTAAAATAGCAACAGATTACTACAAAAATCTTTACAGCTCACCAAAGCTACCAGCATATAAGTTACCGAGTGTTAGTGCAGACGAAGCGGAAGCAAGCATCGACGAAGACGAAGTGGTTAAAGGAATTAAAGCACTAAAAATAGATAAAAGCCCAGGGCCCGACAGAATCACCAACGAGTCTATAAAAACAGGATTCATGTATCTAGTTAAGCCTCTAACCAGACTGTTCAACATGATACTGAATTGCAAAAACACCCCACGTCAATGGTCAGAGTCGGAAATAATTTTGCTCTACAAAAAAGGAGACTCCAAACAATATTAATAATTACAGATCGATAAGCCTGCTACCTTCATTATATAAACTTTTTTCCTCTATAATTGAAAAAAAAAAGAAAATAACCCTCAGAAAAATTCCAATCTATAGAACAGGCTGGCTTCAGACGAGGTTTTTCCATAATTGACCATATATACTCGCTAGAGATGATAATAGAAAAATTCCAAGAGTTTAACAGACCACTGTATGCTGTCTTTATTGATTATGAAAAAGCCTTCGATACTCTACTCCACTCATCGATTTGGGAAGCTCTACTCTCTCAAGCAGTGGCATTAGACTACATACAAGTGCTGAAAACCATTTACAACAATAGTACTAGCAGAGTGAAGTTGGAGAAAACTGGATCACTCATACAAACAAAAAGAGGTGTAAGGCAAGGAGACCCAGTTTCACCTACGATCTTCATAGCGGTGCTAGATTCCATCATTCGCAAACTAAACTAGGAGAAAGTGGGAATAAACTTAAACGGATGTTACCTGAGTCATCTCAGATTTGCTGACGACTTAGTTTTACTATCAGAAAGCACAAACCAACTCCAACTGATGATAAACTCTCTACATGGGGAAAGTCGTAAAGTAGGCTTGGAAATCAACTTAAATAAAACTAATGTCATGACAAATCACACTAAAATATCTATATATCTCAAAAATCTGCCTTTAAACTATGTTGATACATTCATATACCTGGGTAAACAAATCTCATTTAACCCACACAACAATGAACATGAAGTAGAGAGAAGAGTCAACATCACCTGGAAGAAATTTTGGAGCCTAAAAGAAATTCTAAAAAGCGACTTGCCTATAAGGCTGAAAAGCAAAGTCATGAACAACTGCCTACTCCCCTCGCTAACATACGCCTGTCAAACCTGGAAATTTACTAGGAAAATAAAAAATAAGATCATAACAAGTCAAAGAAGTATGGAAAGAAGCATTCTGAATATTAAGAAGATCAAAAAATCCGCCATACTGCCATAAGACAGAAAACTAAAGCTATCGACGCTCTCAGCTACTCACAGAAACTAAAATGCCGATGGGCCGGACATATAGCCAGACTTACTGACAATCGCTGGACCATAAAGATAACATCGTGCTTAGGACCATCAGGCCAAAGAAAAAGGGGTAGACCAATCGTGTGCTGGACAGACGACATTATAAAATTAGCAGGTACCCACTGGATGCGAGTAGCAGGAGGAGGCCTTTACCCTTCGTTAATGAGGGGTTCTTGCAATCGTACACATATGCCAAAAAAAATTAATTCTACACTGTATGTGAATTTTAGAAAAATTTAATTTTTAAAATATTATCTGGATTTATTGAAACTTTTAAAATGCATTCTTATAATGGTCTAAGACAACTAGAAGTAAGAAGTAATTTATTGCAATTAATTAATGAAATTGTAAGTCTATTAGAAACCTTGTTCTATTAAAAGCACATAAATATCAAAAGTAATAC